ACGCTAGTAGTAACAGGTGCCTTACTAGTAGTAACAAGAAGCTATTAAAATTAAACTAGAGTCCATGAGTCTCATGTGTATTTCATCCGCCAACCCCAGCGAAGAGAAGACGAGCACGCCGCGCCAGAGAATCACAAGGCCGTGGTGGTATGGGCTATAAACATAAATTGAATTGGTATAGAATGGTGACCTCAGGACCTCCACATAGAGAGGAAAATCATGGAACATCTCTGTGCTGGGCGGGCAGGGTCTGTGCATTCTCCTGAGGTCTCCGACTGTGCGAAGCGCATCCACCTTGGCGATGGTCTCCACGGTGGGTGCGGCGCCAGCAGGGACGAAGGCTTGCCAGTTGGGCGGCAAGGGGTTGTTGTCGGTCAAGTGAAGCAGGGCGATCCAGTCCTGGTCGTCACTGTCGTCACAGGCTCTGAGTTCAGGTACAACATGGGACAAGAAGTTGCTGCCCAAAGCATGAGGGCCCTCGTGGGCAATGGTCAGTCCTTGTTGAAGTCGCAGTCTTCCTTCACAGCGGCACCCACCTTGGCCGTCGACAACCAAGAATCCAGCGTCTGAGATTCAATCAGGGCCTTAAACCTTATTAGACCGGATAAGTAGCCTTATTGCTGTTTGCTTTATTGCTGCATTGGAAAGTTGGCTGGCCATCCAACTCTCAAAGTGCGTTTGGGCCGGGTCTTCCGGACCTGTTTGTGGGGTTGGCAGGCTGGCAAAGCCCAATCTCATGCTGCATGAGCCATGCATCGTAAGAAATGTATTCAGCATTCCATGTGGAGAAGTGAGAATTCCATAAAACATCCACACATGTGTTCTTTGACGTCTCAAAGATGGAGAGCCTGCCCAATGCATTCGCAGTCAGCCTGTGAAGAGCAGCTGTTTGGAAAAAACACCTGCAATTGACCTGCAATCACAAACTGCTCAAATCCAGCAAGCCACGGTCGCCATCTCCCCAAAGTTCGCCATCAGGGCCGTCCAGTCTCCCGCGCACAGGGCGCCCGAGTTGACCGCAGCACCACAGGCGTTGGCCGCGAAGGAGAGGTACGAGGCGATCCAACTGATGGAGGTGATGAAGCCCGCCACACCTTGAGGCAGTTCAGTCGGAAAGAATACTGCAGGTAAATAGTTTTTCACCAAAAAGGTAAGGTCAGGTGGTGACGCAAGAGGAATTCAAATAGCATCACATAACTCATTCACTTGGTTTCTTCTTCCCCCAAAAGGTGACCAAACCGAGTTGTTCGAGAATCAGATACGGCCTGGGCGTATCTGAAATTGGTTGGTTGGTGGTTTCAACTTGAAAAATAGGAGTCAGTGGGCTCAATCATCGTAAATTCACTTTCAGTTGACGCACGGTGTCTTGCGACTCGGCGTTTTCATCCCAAGTAAGATGGTTGAACCCAAACACTCCTTTCACAGCCCGACCGGTCCCTCAAAACCTAGGGATTTGAGACCCCAGACCCTCCATATGAGGGTCCATGGGGAAAGCAAATCAATATCCGAAACCACCCCCATGTGACAAAGATTGTGACTAGCTCGCCGGGCCCCCGAGCCGAGCCAACCCGAGCTGACACCGGGCCGGTCGGGTTGAACCAAACATATCTCCAGTCTGTATGATCCCTACACTTCCAACATGAATTGACTCGCCTTTATCAAACAACCATCGTTAAAGGATTTCATACTACAAGACCAGGGCAACCGCTTTTTATGGTCTTGGAAGCCTAGGCCTAGGGTTATATTGTAAATAGTAAATAGTTTGGGTCTATTACCAGCAAAGTTGCAGGCCTTTCTCTAAAAAAATGGTGATATTCTTGTTTACTGACTGTTAGAGTCTTCATAGGCTAGACCCAATAAATAGCCAGGAGTCACGTTCGACGGGGTGGTGTTTAATTAGTCCCATCCAGGGGCTCGTGGAGGTGATGTGACACGGGCACCCCCAACCTCCATGGATAACACCCTTTTGGAACTGCTGGAGTATATTTTTTTAAATATATCCTAACCCATAGACTCCATGTATGCCATACATGCCTACATTGACCCCCCAAACCACCCCAACTGATCGCCATATATGGCATATTATGGCATACATGGAGTATATATCCTAATGACTATCCTTATTTAAAAAGCCCAGTGCGGCCAAGGGACTGGCCGCGCATCCGACCGGGGAGTTGTTGGGGCACTTGAGCCCGTCATAGTCAATGGCCTCACACAAAAAGGCCGCAAAATCAGGATTTTTTGTGGGAGGTACCGAATATGACTCTTGTGAACACAAGCATGTGACGGGTACGAGTAATTATGACTTTGGACGGAGGTACGAGTATGCCTTTTGATCGGTTTTGTGATATGCTTGCAAACAATCACGATACAAACAACCCAAGTCTCAGACGTCGTGGCGAACGTCCGGGCGGGGATGGAGCGCGGTCACGTTCCGTCCGGTCGCGCGGTCGCTCTGCGCTACGCTGATTCGCTCCGTGGCTCGGAGCCGGGAGCCTTGTACAAGAAGACCACGGCTTGCCCCAAGTAAGCTGCGCCCTGCCAGGGTGCAGCACCGCACCGACTCAGCCGATCGCCGGCTCTTACGACAGAAGAAAGGCGGAAAAAACATGGAAAAGCGCCGGTTTCTCCTTTTTCGCGCACCGAAAGCGTGGCCGAAACCACCGTGATCCCCACGCCGCACGCCTCGCGCGCCGTGCCCTTCCTCCGACCTCCTCGCGACGAACACCCGTGGCGATCGCCACCCAACTCGGTTTCCACCCTGTGATCCTCTCATGTCCCGTCCCGTCCGACCGCTCGCGTCGCGAAGCGACGCCCTGTACCTGGATCACGTCGATGACGCACTCGGTGCGGATCCATGGCAGCTCCTCCGGCTGGGACTCGTAGAAGAGGTCGTTGAGGCTGCGCAGCTGCACCTTCGGCTCCAAGCCTCGGTAGCATCCGAGCTGTCGCGGGGCGTATTGCGGCGTGGCGCGTGGAAGAGAACAACAGATCTCCAAACGGTGTCTTTAAGTCTTTAAAATGACCCTTCTTTATGCCTGGAACCAGAACTGAGGGGTGGTTGGTGGTTCAAAATAGAGGTCGTTCAGGTTCTAGGTATTTGGTGGTTCCAAAAGAAATCGTCGAACAGAACGGACCATCGAATCCTGACAGATGCCCTGCTCAATGCCCGAGCTTCGACCTGCTAGCCACCTTCTGCGACCGAGCTTCTCTTGGCCTGCTCAATGACGTTGTCAATCCCTGGAATCTCCTCCCATTCGGTGATGGACTGCATGACGCTGGAGGTCCTTGGCTTTTGCAGAACTGCCCGCCCTCCAAACAAGACCCAGACTCTTATGATGGATACATATGAGCCTGACAGAGCCTGAGTGTACAGGTCCGCTTTGCAAACGTAAACAGTTCCTATTGAATGTTCCCGCTACTGTAACCCTCTTACTTCATGTTGTTTCTCTATTTGTATACTGTATAATACAGGTCGCCTTGAAGCCCACCCTCACCTTGTCATGGCTGTGATGAGTTCCATCCACTGAGATCCAGGCTGTTGCACCTCCTTGGGCATCGTCTTGTAGGCGTATGTCGCACAACCCACCTGCAGGTGACGAGGTTGGAATAGGGTGAGATGATGAGCACGAAAAAACATGAAAAAAACACATGGTGGAAACACCATCGGCAGCACGGAAAGGAAATGGTCTTGAATCTACATGATCCCGCAACAAGAGTGATATGTCCTCGCGACTAGACTTTGCAGCTCTGCGAGCGGCTTGCAACTTTCAGTAAATTCATTGCCATTGGACATTGGAATCCGGTGTACTTGCAGTGCAGGCAGATTGCTTTTGCGTCGCGCCACGTATAGCAAACCGTTTCATCAACTAAGACCTTGCGGCAAACCGCAGTGAATGGCATGTCGAGACCCGGAGAGACCATTGATCCATTGCTTAAGGCTTAATGTAGGCTCTTGATTAATAACTTGATTAATAACCCCACCCCGTTGGATTGAACACCTCTTCATGGGGCGGTTTATTCATCAAGAGTCTACATTAAGTCAATGAACTCGAAAGTTCTTCATTTCAGCCACCCAACGACCTGGTCCGTTCACGTGATGTGCCCTCTGCCAGACCAGAATTGGCAGGGGGCACCGGCAGGCTGTTGGACAAGCACCCGTGATGTTGGACGATTGGCCAAACTCTTTCCTGGTGCCAGGTCCTGTCAGGTCCTGCCAGGTCCAGGAAGAACCAAAAACAACATGAACACCTCCCGTCCAGTCCAGCGAATCCACCCATCCCATCCCATCCGTGCCCATGTCGGCCGATTCCCACCAGCGCCAGAGCTGTCATGGATCCCAATACCTTCCAACCGAAGCTCCGCTTGGAGGGCACCTGCCAGTGCCAAATCGCACAAAACAAGGCCCAGAAGGCCCAGGAAGGCGCAGTGAGGGTCTGCGGGATTGGGAGGAGGAAAAGAGAGGGGCAGAGGCGAAGCTCCTGAACATGGGAAGCAAAGGTTGAGACTTACACTGACTCGCTACATACACTACTAACAGAAGTGGTGGGACAAAATAGACTTTTCTACCCATGGGACGATGCCTTCCCATGGGACGATGCCTTCCCATGGGAAGATGCCCTCCCATGGGACGATGCCTTCCCATGGTACGATGCCTTCCCATGGGAAGATGCCTTCCCATGGGACGATGTGAATCAGAGTGTACATATTCCATGTCCTGAAGTGGACACCGCACTGCTGTCCATGCACTAGCTGTCCGCACTGTGTCCATGTCGACCAATGATGTCCTTTTGCAACCAAAATCCACCAAATAGAGGGGTCGATTTGGTACGGTACATGGTAATACTGAGCTTGGTTGTTCAATGCCCCCCTCTATTGATCCACCAACCAAGGTCAGGTCAGGCCATCCATGGGAGGGTTTGATCCTAGTAGCCGGTCCGGCGGAGAGGCGCCCCTCTCCTGTGTGTGGAGATTGGGTCGGGAGCAATGAATCCATCTCTTCATAGAGAGAGAGAGAGAGCCCAAAGATTCAATCTCTTCATGAGGAGATCCGAGAGAGGTAGGGTCGGTAGGGTTGGGGAATTTCGCAGGGAAGATCGAATTGCACATCATTGACACGAAGAGTAATATCTATTAATTATATTGAATTGCACATCATTTGACATGATAATGAATAATATGATATCACTTTAATATATATTATATATATGTATATCACTACTCAAGGACGCAATGGCGCATGAGCAAGGTTGCTCCAAGTATAGTTATTACAACAAGAATGGCCAAGATAATGACGAATTGGGAGGACAAACCAATGACAGGTGGTACCGCTCGTACATACTCAGTACCATCTGGCCTCTAGGACACCAAAAACCAAATCAAAAGACGTTTTCCCAAGAGGCCTCTGGCACTTCAACCAAAAGCTCTTGAGCATCATCCATTGGCAGAGCGGAGTGGGCCATCGTGGAAGCTATGAAAGGGCTGGAACAGGATCACTCGTGGCGCCTTGACGGTGAAAACTGTGAGCCGAAAGAACCCGCGACGGTCAGTTTCCGTCACAGCCTTCAGGCGGATTTCAGAGAATTCAAACGGGTGTTCTCTTTTAAAACCGACAGGTGGCTCAAAGCAAAGTGGAGCAGTTCAACAGGAAGTGGTGTGATTAGAGCTTGGCCCAATGGTACAGGTTGCAAAAAAGGGTAAACTTGTACAAAGGCCAACTCAAGTCAAACAGTTGGATTAGGGGACAGCCAGCCCTCAAGCCAACCTCCCATCAATCGGAGCCCAAGCATGCACGGCACACGACACCTTTTGATCTTTTAGGTTCTCACACCGTCATTGTGCGTGCCTAAATCAGAAAGGAAGTCCTGCAAACGTGACAGACTGGCGATCTCTGGAGAAAGGTCGGAAAAGCGGTTGTGACAAAGCAGCTCTAACCGCAGATCCTACTCAGATCCACCAAAGACTCAAAAACCATCTCGTTCCAGGCATCAAAGCTAACGCAAGCCATGCACAATCATCCACGAAACCCTTTGAAACTTGGGGCAGCCTAATCTGACCCTCTGCTCGAAGAATTACCACAACATTCCACACATGAGCAATGGGACGCGTGCACTGCTCCCTGGCTTCTTTGGTGAATCCTCACTCAGCATTTCTTCGGCTGCTGTCAATTCAATGTAGATCCCGCCAACACAGGTCCAGCTAAGCTACCAGTGTAGCTGGGCATTCCATCCATGAAAGGCCCAGAAAAACAAACAAATAGATACACATCCATCCCACTTTGAATTTCTGGAAATTCTTGAGGAAATTCGAACTAACGGGGATATATATATATATATACTGTCACACACTTCTTGAAACTGGCAACGTAGAGACCCTCCCCACCAGTCATGTGTCATGGGCTCCGTTTCGAACGCACCCTCATGTGTCACTGGCGAAGCAATCCGAAAGACCATGCTGGGAAAACCCTGGCCCCCAGAGCATTCCACCTGCTCCGGATCAGATGGTTCCTAGCTGTTATATAACGAATGCAAGTTGTTTATTACTTGCTGTGGGTCATGGCACCAGCGACCTACCGGTAGCTACCGGGTGTCGAACGGGCGGGCAAGCGACATGGTGGACCAGAGCGACATGGTGGACCAGACCCATCCATATGTCTTAAAAATCCTCCTGCAAATAAACATGAACCCCCCGAAACCACGTCGGGTTGTAGAGGACAGAGACCTCTGGAAACAGGTGAATGCAGGGTCCATTGTAGTCTGCGGGGGTGTACACTTACCCACCCTGGCCCTTGGACATTGAGCCAAAATAACCCAAGAGCAGGGGGGCCCGGGACGTCAAAGCCCTGCACTGGCGCATTCCAGGACCCCTCTGCAACCTGGGTACTACACTCCCTCAAACCAGCATGGAAGTGGATCATTATTTCTCATTCTTTCTCTACAAAGAGGTGGTGCCATCCACGTTCCAGGTGAGTTTTTCAGGCAGAATCAGGCTCTCAACATCCCAGCGACCGACCAAAACTCATCCAAACCAACTCCGAACTTGCTTGCTTCTCCTGCACCAAAAGCCCTGGGGGATCTCCACCGAAAAAGTGGCGCCGCAACTCCATTGCGGTTGGCTCACTCTCATGTAGGCAGAGTCGAAAACTCTGCCGATGGGTACCGCTGGGGAAGAATGGATTCGCCAAGGAAAGTCCAGAATGACTCCACCAAGAAGAGGACAAATTTGTTTACAGCTTGTAATGTTTGTCTTCAGCGAAGCTCCAGCTTGCGAGAGAACACTGTTCACCAAGGCGGTCGGAAATCTGACCACTGTCCTTTCGTTCGTTTTTTGCAGCAGAAGGAACTTTAGCTGAACTTGGCCGACAACAAAGATGGCGTTCTTGCTTTTTGTCGTTCGGTGCATTGTACAAGTTCAAGACAAACAGCCTTCTATAGACATGTCTACTAACCCCCACGTTCATGCTGAACATGACCAATACAGGCTCCGATCGAGCCCGCGTTTGGACTTCTCCAATTTCCTTGGCCAAAACTCATGAACACTCAAGCCGCGCAAGCTCTGGGGCAAAGTCGTCCCGCTTGAACGGAAGACTCAACCATTTGTTAAAGTTGTGGAAGGCAAGTGTTGTTCGGCTTCGCACCTCCAAACAACCCAAGCAAGACATGGTCAAGCCATGCTGACGAAACAGGACTCACATCGACTCAACCGGTTCCATACCACTCCGTCACCATAGATCATAGATCTGAGATCTATCTTGTTTCAAACATGAGTATTAAAGAACTCAATAACTACAACTCAATACAAATTCACCACAATCTTCATCCCAGAACTTGAGAGATGTATACTGATATATCGTCAACATCAATTGTTAGGCTTGATCGGTTTTCATGTTCCTAGCTGCCGTCCACAAACTTTGGAAGTACATCTCATCCAAATGACATTTGGATTGGGCATTCTGCTTGCCATCGGCCTCTCAGTTTCCCTCCTGGCGTGAGAGAAGCATGATGTCAACTTGGTATCATTCGAGAGAAGCTGCCTCTTGATGCGCCTCTTGCTTTACCAAAATGAAGCACCAAAGAATCTGCCGCACAAAAGACCATCAAACCCCTCAAGACTGTGGTCACAACCTGCAACGAACGGAGCAATGTTCGCTACGAAAGGAGAAAAGGGAATGGCTAACTTCTGGTCCCACCGAAGTCAAACACTGTGATCTCGTGACCATGCGGCAGGTTCATGAGGCCCCGCCGTGCCTAAGGGAGAGCATCCTTCCCAAGCTACAGCGTCCCCAATTGTGTCCTCAGTCCGGTCAAGGCAAAAACGCGACCAGACTTAGAAGGACATCGCTGGAAAGCATCATACAAAAACGTGTTCCATCACGTTCCATCTTTCTCTTGAGTGTTGGGGTACCAGTCTCGAGAAACGCGTCAAGCGTCAACCGTTTTCTAGAAACGACAGAGTCATGGCGCAAAGAAGGCCCCCGAATTGGAACTGACAAGTTGCAAGGAGGCTTGAGCATAAGCCTCTGTAGGATAAACACATATCTATGGTATGGAAGAAACACCTTGGCGGTATCTCCATCTATGATTCAGAGAGTGTCCAAAATATATTTGCGCACCGACAGCCTCAGTGTTTCGGCAAGCTTTGCTTGAGACATCTTGCATATTCTTGCATCATCTTGTGTACAGGACCACCCCGTTTTCCAGACATCAGCTGAGGGCGACTAAAAAAACAAACGAACGCCTGCTCTTTTCAAATCTGAACGGCTTCGCCAAGATCAACACCACATACCAAAAGATCCAAACCAAACAACAAACACATACAAGAGCAACTGCCTTCCAGTTCCAGCCCCAGCCCCAGCCCTTAGTTTTCTTTTCACATAAGGCATGGCAAATGACACCACCTTCTCTGGGAAGGTCCATGATCGCTGTATTCAACAAAACACCTTTTGCACTCCTTTGCATTGGGCCATAACTACTCACCTCCAGACCTAGATAGGCACTCTGTATGATCGTTTCCCTTTTGGCACCCCAAAACCGGCACCAAAAAGGAACTATTAAGTGCCCGAACATCCGCGACCACCCTGAGAAGCACACTGCCAACCCCCAAAATCCGGTCGAGGAAACCATCACCCAGGCGCTCCATGGGACTGCCATATATGCCGATCAGTTGGGGTGGTTTGAGGGGTCAATGTAGGCACATATTCCATACATGGAGCGTCTGGGTCATATAGAATGTTGACGAATAACTTAACAACCTGGCCCCCCAAACGGAAGAGGTTCTTCAATCCAAATGGAAGGAGTTGGATTCATCCAACCCTCACATGGAACCTGGGAATGGCACCCCTAAAAGACTGCTTTCCTCTACAAACCAGTGGTTTTTCAGAATCCATGGCGATCGTTTTCCACTGGGTACACTGATCCCAAACCCTCTCCGACCTCTCGGGCCCCCACCGCCCGGAGCTGCCGCTGTCGCCGCCCCGTTCGAATCGAATCACCCCGGGGGCTTCCAAGGGCCCTGGCGCTTCTCCCACCGTGCTTCGCGCTTCGACACCTCCGCTCGAAGCCAAAAAGAAACGGGACACCTCCACGTCCGTCCCAGCATCAGATCTACCGTGGTATCATGTACGTCACGGTCTCGAGGTCTCTCTCGAGGTCGACAGCGGTGGTCGTCACGGCCCTGAATTCGAGGTCGGCCGCTTCTCCGCCTGAAGAGAAAGCGAGGTCTTGCGAGCTGGAGCTGGTTGGGTACTGGATGGGTCACTGATGTCACGGGGTCGGTCTGAGTCTAGCATCCAATGAGTGGATGAACCAAGAAATGGCCGTCTTTGATCCCAAGTTCTTGGGCGACACACTGACTGGAAGGGACGCACTCCCTCAGTATAAGATGGCAAAAGGCACCAGGTCTTGAAGGGTTTATGAGGCATGTTTTGTAAAAAAACGCAAACTGAATCTCCGAAGGCAGATCAACCGCTGCCGTTTGTTGCAATGCAAAACATTGCCAGCACATCTACTAACTTTGCAGCAAAGGATTATGCCCGAAAGCTTCACATCGGGTCTCCTCCATGGACTAGTCCATGGGCAGGTGCTTCTCCTCCTCCAAGGGGTCTGGCATGTCTGCGCAATCCTCACGTGAACGAGATGGACGACATTGAAACTGCAAAGAAGTAACTTCAAAAAAAGGCTGGTCAACCTTGACTTACTCCGTCTGGATGTTCAGCTGCAGGAGATTTCGGAATGCGGTTCATGTCGCTTGATCGCTTGTTTCGTTGTCTTTCGTTTTGTTTCATCACGACCTCAGTAGACTTCACTGCCGCCCAGTTGCAGAAGTCGTGGCAATTCCTGCTGCAGGGCCATTGGTGACAGCGGCCACCATGTCCTGGGCCGCTCAACGTTCCCCAGCTCTGCTTGTTGGGGGGTACACTCTGATGGACGCATCGTGTGGAAGTAGAAAAAGAAACCGCTTCGCAGTTCGCACAGGAAAGTCGCTTGAAAAGTAGGTAGGGGACCCAACCCTGCCATGGATTTCACAGGCCGCAACGCGTATCTCAGCTCCTTCCCATCTCGCCAAGGCACGGAAATATCGGCAGCACACAGTGCCTTCTGGCTTCCTGGGCGCATGGTGAAAGCAAACGCAGAGTCACTGGTCGACGTGATTCATTGATTGGCGATGGTGATAACTTTTAAACCTTTCGACTTGACAAAAATGGACCAAAACAAAGACTCCTGAATGAAGCCACTAACAGCCCCAAAAGCTAGCTGGCCAAAAGGTCATGCATTTGCCGGCATGATTTTCCACCGGCCAAAACCGAGAAGCTGGTTGAATCTGTGTATAGGGAGACTCTGGACATCAGTGGCCGCTTTTTCGACGGTGCAAGAGGAAGTCAGGGTGAAGTGCCAATGGTACCATCGGTAGATTGGTTTATATCGGCACATTGCTTTCGCATCAGGCCAGGCATCAGGCTTGGCTTCTCACACAAGATGACTCACTTCGTGCTCAAACCGGTCTTAGACTTCAGCTTCACCAAGAGAAGAGAAACACAAATGTTGCGTGATTTTTTCACGAAGAAAGGCTTTTCAGTTCAATGGTTGTCAACCAAAAACGTTTTTTTGGCTCCACTCCTGTCCCAGACTTGCTCCTCAGAATGCCTCTCAATCTACACCGCTTTCTGAAACGCCGGGAAAGGGGGTCCACGAATCAAGCCCTCACTAGATCATACACGTCCCTTCTACATATCAGCCCAGCTTCCCTTGGTCCAGCAGTCAGAGACGGCCAATGCCCTCGGCTGCAAGTTGATTCAAGCATGGTCAAAAAAGCAAAAGATCAGCAGGGGAACATGTTGATCCCAAATGGATGCTTGGGGGCAAGCCACAAACACAACAAGCACCAGAAGTGTTCGGAAACGGCCCCGGCTTAATTGCTTTGCAGCTGTCCAACTGCATTGCTTTAACAAGAGAAGATCAGTGATGAGAGTTGAAAGAGATAGAACTTCTTGCTCCTAGTAGCGATGTCCTTGTTACTAGGAGTTTCTTGTTCCTAGTAAGGCCAGTTTCGCCCCGTTCGTAGCGTCCGATCGCTCCGTTCGAGTCGCGATGCCCAACTGTTCCGTTCGTAGCTGGGATGGACGTCACATCGGTCCTCCCGAAGGGTCGGTCACTGCACCAAGCAACGTGAACTGGGAGATCCATGCGAAGGAGCTGATGATGTTCATGATGTTGATGGCGCAGGCCCTGTTAGATGGCGAAGTTGCAGCTGTACCCACAAAATAGAGACCAGTGGCTGATGGGTTGATTCTTCTCAAATGGATGTGCCACCAATGACGCTTTCACCTGTGGCATTCAGTTCGGCGTGTCCCTTGCATAATTAGTTTGGGCCCTGACTTCGGCTCAGGGCAGGCGCTGGCCGCAGAGCGGATCTGCAGGATGACACGGACAATGTAGGAGGCCTTGGTAGATTCAAGGATATTCAGGTATCAATCTCACAAGGCTTAAAGGCTTAAAGTGGAAAAAGGCATGACACTTCAAGTTAATTGGCATTAATCGGGAGAGCTGGTGTAGTCAGGTGTGGGCCTATTCATGCCTATTCCTATTCTTTCAGTTCCCTTGCAAAATCACGGACCGCAGGGAGCAGTCGCAGGAGCAGTCCTGGTCAAAAACAACCGCCCTGGTCAAATTGACCTGCTCTCATCCCGACCCCGGTTGTAACATGTTAACCTTTGCTGTGCCAGTTGGAACATGTCAGTGTCAGTTCCTTTGCAGAAATGCCACGCACCGTCCTGGACCAACACCTCGAGTCGACCAAACGATGAGAGTTCCGTCCACGCTTTTGGTGGACCTGCGAGCTCACCGGAACACACGGACCTGCGAGGTCACCTGTGGTTTAGGAGGTGCAGCCGCAGCAAGTAGTGCCAACAGGGCCAAGCAGCAGCAAACAAACAAACAAAAGAGAATAATATGGCAGGCTTGAGGGGTTTCTGAACCCTGGCTTCCCAAACCATCCCAGCGGATGTGTCGGCACTGTTTTTCAAGAGTCAACTCAAATATCCTCAGATCATCCTGGTCATAAGTTCCAAACCAGGCCCCCAGACCGCGTTGGTCACGTCGGCCATGACGCACTGCGTGAGGTCAAAGTTGCGGTTGCGCTTGGACTCAGCACGGGGGGCCGACAGGGTCGGCGTGGCGCTCGCGGTCGACACACCACTGGAGCAGCTGACACGGCCGACGCCCGGAGGCCCAACGCCTCTGCCGTGGCGCCCACGATCTAGACTTCACTTGGACGCCCAGAAATAGACATCGAGCCAGCCCATCTTCAGAAACAGACATCCCTGTTCTGTACCCTCGACCGTGTCGATGGTAGCGACCATTTCGAGTCTCCGGGTCGGTCCTTTCTTCGAGCCAAAATCGCACCCCAAAGCGAGAAAACCGTGACCCAACAAGCTACATCAAGCTCACAACTGTGCAAAGTGTCCAAATTCACCACCTGTGAAATTCAGGACACCGAGGACGGACCCATGTGTGACAGAACCATGGGGTAGACCACTTTACCTTCCGAGGCCGTACCGGCACAGTTGAAAAGTGCGTGATTGTGCGCTTGGGTTTTTCACAGTGGTAGCGGAGCCCGGTCGTTGCCGCTCGTGCCCGTCGTTGATGCACGAGGGGTAGCGGCTGGGCTCCATCCCCATGGCTAGCGATTCGACTGGCGGTGCTTCTACACGGCTGGAACGATTCGATGGCTCTGATCCTAGCCTTTACAAAAGGTGGCGGCGTCGGGCAGCTTTGATGATCATCAGTCTGCCTAATACATATCCTGCTGAGAAATATGGTCCGAAATTGATCGAGTTCCTGGCAGGCGAGGCCGAGTTGGCGGTTGAACATATTCCCGTGGAGGACTTGGCGAAGAGTGGTGGGGAACGCCTAGTGTTCAAGGCTTTGGACGAGCGTTTCAAACCGCTTGAGAAGGACGACATGAATGAAGCTCTGAAAGAATTTTTCTTTGAGACTGCCATTCGTTCAGGTGAGCCGATGAAAGCTTTCATCACCCGCTTTGTCACAGTGGAGCGGAAACTACGTGAGCAGGGCGTGACTTTGCCTGATGAGGTACAGGGCTGGTTCATGTTGAGGAAACTTCATCTTGACACCAACCAGGAGGCAATGATCTTGACTGCGACAAGGGGTTCTTTCAAGATCGGAGATGTTTCACAAGCAGTGCGGGCCATTTTGGCCAATACCAAAGGTACACACAAGACCAACCAGAAGGACACGTTCGTAGTCACTGACGAACAAGATCGGGACACTGACGTGGGTTGGGACGAAGATCAAGAACTGCTTCAGGTCCTTGCAGCAGAGCTACAGGAGAACGACAACTATGAGGAGGAGGAACTCTTGGACACCTTCGAGAGTTACAAGCAGGTGAGGACAAAGATGCAGGAAGTTCGGAAAGCCAGAGGCTTTCGATCAGACGCCAGTTCAAGTGGATCGAGCCAACCGTGGAGACTACAGGGAACCATCTCTGCCAGACTTCAACAAGTGAAAGCTCGCACCCGCTGTCATCGATGTGGCCAAATTGGCCATTGGCGCAAGGAGTGCCCATCACGAAGTGGAGGAAAGGGCGGCAACAAGGGATCGGCGTCTTCCGTGACGAGTCAGACATCGTCCAAGGAGGTGCACATTGTGGAGGCTGACTGGCCGACACAGGAGGACTATGATTTGTTGCTTGATCAGACAGCGAGCGAGATTGAGCTGGGGTTGGATGCCTTCATGATCCAGGGCGGTGGAGAGAGCGACGACTCGCAGCGCTCCGTCATGCTTGACCCGTGGAGCGCTCCTGTGCCGTTGATTTTTCGTGAGCAGTGTAGTACGGCCTTGGGCCCCAGTACAGTCATGAACGATGTACAGCACGTTCATTTTGAAGTTTTTCATGAAGATGACGATCAGGGCGGTGTGGAATACACGGCAGCAGCCTTGGAGACACACGGAATCCCTGATACAGCATGTCGTAGGTCTTTGATTGGTTCAAATGTCCTTGCACGTGTCGAAGAACACCTGAGTAGGACCGGTAGGAGAGTACAGCGGAAGGAGGCCACCTCACATTTCAGGTTTGGAAACAACGGGAGTCTTAGGTCAGATGAGGTTGCGGTTATTCCTTGTTGCATTGCTGGTCAACAGCTTTTGATTCAGGTGGCGGTTCTTCCTGGGAGTGGTGCTGACACCCCCTTCCTCATGTCCAAAGAACTTTTGAAAGAGCTTGGAGCACGTCTAGATTTAGTCCGTGACACCATGAGTTTCGCACGTCTCGGAAATCGGGAGGTTTGCTTAGGCACCACTAGCAAGGGTCACTACGCTGTTCCTTTGTATGAGTTCGACACACACACACACAGCATGCACAGCACAGTCGGATTTTTGACCAAGATTCTCAGTGTGTTGCATCTAGACAGGATTGCCATGTCGTACACCGGCAGTCCCGACAGGATGAGCCCAGGCAGCCATCAGCTGCTAGAGTCTCTCCAGATGGGGCATTTGATGCCGATGGATCAACATCTGGATCAGCAGTACGACTCGGAGGACGACTCTCCAAGGCATCCTCAGGTCTCCGGAGACACAGTGATGATGGAGGGCAAATTCAAGACCAAACCTCGAGCACCAGCAAACACCTTCCGGTACATTTACACATGTCAGAAGAACTACACGGGGTGGGTAAGGTCTCACATCGGGGAATCCAGCTCTCAGCATCTGAGGACCTTCAAGGCCTATGTGGAGATGAGAGACAACAAGAAGATTCACCGACTGAACCAGGTGAGTCAGAGGAATGGTCGAGAGATCAACTTTCATGCCTCAGGAATCGTTCAGGGGTGTCGGCCAGACGGAGGAGTCAGTGCAGCCTACACCGTCCAGCAGTATGTGGTTCCACCTCTTCCCCAACGACAGAGCCATCAGAGAGAGAGAGAGATTCCATGTCACAGATGTCCCAGAGTGTTCAGAGTTGGCAGATGATTCATGCGGCCCCGTGCAGTTCGCTTTCACCACCAGGAATGACACCAGCACCAAAGAGGAGCGAGGGAGCGATGAACATGAGTCGACGACGACGCATGAGGGACGACGACATGGAGGTCGAGAATCAGAGGCACCAGGAACTCCAGGAGTACTGGACGCTGTGGACCATGGAATTGCTGAACAAGAACGAAGAAGCCAGGGAGCATGTGGAAAAGGAGATCACATGGATGCAGAACACGTCCGGTGGGCCACAGAAGGTGGCGAGGATCCTCTCGAGGTTGGCGGTGAGCAACACCACCCCTCATCATGCAGAGGATGCATAGATTCTCCTACATCCCATATGTCGGATAGTACAGATGAGTCGAACGACTCACAGTCCGGGGTGGCTGACATCACCGACATAGGAGGACAAAGTATGAACAGGAAGACACGTCGCAAGCTCCGACGTGTGATCGAGGCACTAGAGAGCTATGACTGTCACGAGGCATGGCAAAAGAGCTGCCAGGATGCTGGCTGGGAAGGTCCTGACATCTGCGAGGTTTTTTCTGTCCCACGTGTGTCTCATGAGGGTCGTGACCATGGGCTGAGAAGTGGTGATTGTTTTGACCTGCAGTTAGGAGACGACCTGTTGAACCCCGAAATTCGAAACCAGGTGTATCGACGCATCGCGGAGACGAAACCTCTGATTTGCATTGTTTGCCCCCCATGCACCTATTTTTCCACGATCCGGCAACCATGTGAGGACCAAAGTAAAGAACAAGATGAAAGAAAGAAGGCCATGACCCTGCTCCTTTTTGGCATCGAAGTGTGCAAGTTGCAGTTGAGACAGGGGAGATACTTTCTTTTTGAACATCCGGTTCATGCCCGATCATGGAAATGTCAAGCGTTGGGCGAACTGAGTGGTTCGGAGGGAGTCGCCATGGTTGTGTTGGACATGTGCATGTTCGGCATGAAAGACGTGGACACCGGGACTCCGATAAAAAAGGGGACCAGACTTATCGGAAACATGGACAAGGACATCATGGACAAGTTGGGACACACCTGCGATAAGAACCATGACCATCAGGTCTGTGAGGGACAGGTGAGACATGCTGGGAAGTGGGTCAATAGGACTAGGTTGGCGCAAGTGTATCCTCGGCAATTTTGTCAAGTGGTTTGTGAATGCATTGTTCAACAAAAACGACGAAGGGAACAAGGGCACTCCCCAAGGAGTGAGGTTCTTGCCGTTGAAGCTGTTGGAAAACATGAGGGGGAACATCATGTTCGGGAAAGCATTCGACGAGCCCACCAGAACTTAGGCCACCCTAGCACGGAAAGGTTTTGTTTGATGCTGAAGCATGCCGGAGCTTCCGAGAGTGCTTTGAGGTACGCTAGGGAGTATAAGTGTCCCATTTGTGAAAGTCACCAAGGACTCAAAGCTCCCAAGGTCAGTAAGGTCCGCCGTACGTTCGAGTTCAACTCCGGGGTTTGCTGCGACACGTTTGACTTGGAGATTTTGGGGAAAAAGGTTTCGTTCTTGAGTGTCATCTGCGAGGGTACCTCCTTCCACTTGGTCATGCCGTTGTGGGCCGGTCGAAACGCCGAAGAGACTCGTCGAGCCTATCGGAAACATTGGAAGGCCACGTTCGGAGCGCCGAAACGCTTGTTTGCCGACAATGGGTCGGAGTTCGAGGGACCCTTTCAGGAGGGACTTTGGTTGGACGGGACCTCGGATGAGCGTAGCGCGGGTTTTTCCCCTTGGCAAAACGGGTTTTGCGAGAGACACGGAAGCACGTGGAAGTCCATGTTCATGAAGATGGCCAGTGTTTTTCCCCCGAATGATAAGGAACAGGCGGAAGAGCTGATCCACCAGGTCAATGTTGCCAAGAATGCCATGGTGAATCATGATGGTCACTCCCCCCACCAAAGGGTTTTTGGTCAGCAGGCCAGAATTCCTGGCATGGTGTATGGTGGTGAGGACAACCTTCATGTGGGTATCAACAGTGGGTATTTGGCTGGAGACGCTAGTTTCGTTCGATCCGTTCAGATGCGACAAGAAGCACGTAAAGCCTTCATCGATGCCGACAGCGAGGATCGGATTCGTCGTGCGGTTGAGAGACGGACGCGACCGGAGCGAGGGCCTTTTTACCCTGGGTGTAAGGTGTATGTTTGGAGACCCGGTAGGAAGAAGGAAGACGGTAGTTCGGTGGCTTGGTTTTGGAGGGGCCCCGGAACGGTTATCGGGTCGAGTGGTCATGATAAGGTTTGGGTTTCTTTTGGTACGAAGGTTCTGAAATGTTCACCCGAACAACTCCGTCGTTTGAGAGCCGAAGATGAAGCCAGCATTCGGCTCATTCCTCAGGAGTTGATAGATTGGTCCCATGTCATTTCCAAGCGTGGTGTAGCCACGTACCACGACATCTCAGCTGACCGGCGACCGCCCAGTGAAGAGGCTGAGAGTGGAAGAGATTATTGGGAACTGAACGGAATACTTTTGAGACGAATACATGTACAACCTCGAAACCACCTGTATGTTCCGTTGGAAGCTGACGAACCACCAGTCGATTTGGCTAGATTGAACAGTCGAAGAAAGACTATGATCAACTACCAAAACATGATCGCAGTGAAGAAGGAGATGTTTGATGACTGGCGAGAGGTTGGCGGCGGAGACAAACAAGCAGACTGGACAGGATGTACTGTCTTCACCATCAAAAGACAACGTGAAGAGAACGAGCAGTTGCAGGATCTATCAACAGATGCTTATGATGGGCCTAGAACACATCCAGTGCCTATGCAAGAGGACGCACCGACAGGAACACCTAGCCTTTCATACACACCAACTGAGGTACCAGAAGACGAACCAGTGGATAGCACAGAGGACAACAACACAGGTCAGATGATCACATCCACTGAGCCAACGCATCCAACACCAACAGACATGCCGAGTGCATCACCAGCAGAGGTGACAAGCAGCAACAGTTATGGACCAGTCCGTGAAACACCACTGACTAGGGCCATGAGACAAGACCTTAGCCGACTTGATACAGGGAGAAGACAGAGTCGAAACATCCATGACACGCTGCAGGCTGAAATGGATACAGGGCAGTGGACAGACAAAACAAGGAAGTGGAAGATTTCTTGGGATGATGGAGTCCTTATTCGACTCCATGGATATCAACAAGGACCATTCAAACCAAGTGAGAAGACATGTCCTATTCCACTTCAGTGGCTGACAGGCAAGAGATATTCCTTGATCAGAACAGAAGGCATCGATGGCTATACCGTTGTGATCGACGAAGACTTCAACAAACCTGCACAGCAACACACAGAATTGCAACAGTGGACTGGATATTCTGTTTTTGAGATCAAAATGCCTGACCTGGAACATGACATTCCGGAGGGAGAACATGAGATATATGAGGTGACCATTTGGGATGGCCTCAACAAAAACAAAGATTTGGTTCTCGAAGAAAGCAAGAGAGCTGAAGTGGAGAAGCTGTTCAAGTACAAGGCATTGAAGATTATCCCACCACATGAGGCTCAACAAATACGACGGAAAAAGGGAAGGATCTTACCATCCCGCTTCGTCATCACGGAGAAGCCAGATGAGAAAGAACCAGGCAAGTACAAGAAGAAAGCAAGATGGTGCATTCGAGGTTATTTAGACCCCGATCTCCACAAGCTCGAGAAGCAGGCACCTACCCTGTCGAGTGAGGCATTGAGTCTTATCCTGCAAGTCAGTGCCTCAATGAATTGGCCGCTCAACATTGGAGATGTGGAAGGAGCCTTCCTTCAAGGAGATCAACTACATCGTGACGAAGGTCCTCTATACATTGAACCTCCACCGGGAGGCATGCCTGGAGTACCTGAAGGAAGCTTGTTACTGGCAGAGAAAGCAGTATATGGCCTAGCCGATGCTCCAAAGGCTTGGCATGACAAGCTGACTCGTAGCCTACTCTCCACTGGACTGAGACAGTCGTGCCTGGACCCATGTTTGTTCCATTATTGGCAGGATACAGAATACCACGGTTCTTTGGCAGTTCACGTTGATGACTTGATTTGTACAGGTACAGCAATGTTCAAGCAACACGTGACAGACAAGCTGAGAGCATTGTATCCCTTTAAACATTGGAAAACAGACGGAGGAGAGTTCTTGGGACGACAAATTCACAGGACAGACGAGGGCTTCATCATAGAGCAGAGGGAGTATGCAGAGAAGTTGAACACCATCAAGATTTCGCGAGAACGGAAAAGAGAGAAAGACCAACCATTGAACGAACGAGAGAAGAGTCAACTTAGAGGAGTAGCTGGCGGTTTGAACTGGCTATCAACAGCCACGAGACCAGACTTAGCAGCCATGACAGCGAAGATTCAACAGAACATTCAGAATGGCACTGTCGAGCACATCGCAGAAGCAAACAAAGCAGTTGCAAAGGCTCGAGATTTTAAACATGTGGCTGTGAAGGTTATTCCAATTGATTTACAACAACTCACCATTTTGGTAACAGCAGATGCATCATGGGCTACGGAAACAGACTTGAAGAGTCAATCTGCATACATGGTTTGTGCCACAACAAAGGCAATGCATGAGGGCAAGGCAACACCATTGACACCACTCAAGTGGAAAAGTCAGAAACAAGAAAGGGCAGTCAGCAGCACTTTAGCAGCTGAATTGTACACTGTTTCAAAAGGTGTAGCTGAAGCCGTATGGACAAAGCAATTTTTCTTAGAGATTTTGAATTCAGAATACAATTTGAACAACATTGACAAGTTGAGAAACAATGTGGATGTCATTGCGGTCACCGACAACAAGCCTCTCTATGATCATGTTCGAAATGATACAGGAATGATTCAAGACAAGCGGCAAGCAATCGAAGTCCTGTTGCTGAGAAGAGATGTGAAAGAACACCAAGTTAGTATGCGCTGGATCGATACGAAACAAATGTTGGTAGACTGTATGACAAAACTCACGGTCAAGCCAACGCTTCTTCGTCATGTCTTGCATTCGAATAGCTATGCTATCATGGAGGAGCAAAGCATGCTAGAGGCCAAGCGCACACAAAGACAGCACAGGAAGTCACACATGCTACAACCCGGGATGTGTGAAATTCAGGACACCGAGGACGGACCCATGTGTGACAGAACCATGGGGTAGACCACTTTACCTTCCGAGGCCGTACCGGCACAGTTGAAAAGTGCGTGATTGTGCGCTTGGGTTTTTCACACCACCTAATTACTCACGGCACTTCTGTCCCCCAAACGGCCTTCCACAACCTCACCGCCCCGCTCCCTGCTCGGGTTTCCAAGACACCGTGCGGAGCGCGTCCACCTTGGCGATGGTCTCGACGGTCGGTGCGGCGCCGGCCGGGACGAAGGCTTGCCAGTTGGGCGGCAAAGGGTTGGCGTCGGTCACGTGCAGCAGGGCGATCCAGTCCTGGCCGCGCAGCACTGCGCAGCGATTCCGCGCAGCACGCCGCGGGTTGGAGCCAGGCGAAGCAATGGGCAGAAGCGACTACGCCGCCCCCCAGTCAGTCGGGTGGGCATGCAACAGAAGGACCCCACGAATCAGCCCCGCAGGCCGAAAGGGAAAGAGGATGTCAAGAAGATGAAATGAAGTCAATTGCATGGCCCAGCACTGGGTCTTTGGCTTTGTCCTGCTTTCATTCATCAGCTTGGACATCTCTCCAGATCTCCAAACAGCCCGCCGAACAAGCCCCAAAAGCAACATCTTCGGCTCTCCTTGTTGAAATCGCAATCCTCCTTCACGGCCGCACCAACCTAGCTTGGCAAAACACACGATTTTCGCGGTTCGTTGGGTTTCCCAAGATTGTGGGGGAATTTCCACTGTTCTTGGTGGATCTGATTTTTGGGGGGTTGGAGCAGGTTGGAATTGCCTCCATGGGTACTCTTCTGTGCTGCACTCTCTGAAATTCCCTTCAAGGCCAACTTCAAGAAGGAAAGTGATGGGATTGCAGATTGCTCCCGCATGCAAAGAACCAAATAGATTGTACACCACTACTTGTCTGTTCTAAACAGGGCTGGATGTATCTGAAAGTTGTGGGCAAGTCCCCTGACTTCCAAGGCATCAGTGAACACTGATGGATTCAAGCCAGCTGCGGTCGCCATCTCGCCAAAGTTCGCCATCAGGGCCGTCCAGTCTCCCGCGCACAGGGCGCCCGAGTTGACAGCAGCACCACAGGCGTTGGCGGCGAAGGAGAGGTAAGACGCGATCCAGGTGATGGAGGTGATGAAACCGGCAACGCCTCACTGGCTTGTTGGGGAAAGGCGTGAGCTAGCCCTGGCTTGGAGCCTCCTGCTGAAAGACTTGCGTGAGGATGGAGCCCCTCAAAAGGGACATCTGACGGGTTGATTCTCGCCCGTGTCAGGTCAGGCTATCCGTATTCCATTTGAACATCTCAAACTTGCTCAGGCAGCCACTCGGCAGCCACTTGTCACTCAAGCAAGTAAACTTCAACACGTCCACTTTGAGTTCTTTATCAAAAAAATGCAAGATTTCTTCGTCGCTAGCTCTGCAGAAGTTTGGAATTTATTCTCAGACAAGTCTTGGATGATTTAATGATTTCTCCGCGCACAGCTCTGGAGAAAACCGGAATTTCTTCGCAGAACAGCATTGCAGAAATCGTGGTTTTCTCCAGAGCTGCGTGCGGAGAAATCATGATATTCTCCCGACAGAAGTAGCAGTCACTTGCAGCCACTTGGCAGCTTGGGCAGCCACTTGCAGCCACTTGCAAGTGGCTGCAAGTGACTGCAAAACGGAAACTCAAAATGCGCACCTCCTGCGAGCTCAATGAAACATCTACAGAAAACATCAGAAGACAATACAGCTTGAATTAAAACATCTTTACTGTAATCCGTTTACTGCCCTATTCACTGATGATGCAACCGTCTGCTGCATATAAGCTTGAAACCAAGCAACTGGCTGCGCAGCCCACTGGCGAGTTGTTTGGGCACTTCAGTCCATCGTAATCAATGGCCTTGCAATCGGGCGCACTGGAGCGGAAACAAGCTCTCACCCAAAGCATACTGGCAACAGAATCTTGCTCCACGTGAGGGGTGACCTAAGCCTGGCTACTTGCTAGGCCGAATACATCACAGCGGTCTTGTATTTGACTCATGCTGTCCATGTGAAAGTATACACATGGAGGCACGACATTGACATTGACTTATATTGACATATATTACAATATATTACATTACTATATCACCACTGCAAGAACATCTGTTCAGCAACAGCTCTTTGATTGTCTCAGAGGCCCTGCCTTGTACAAAAAGACCACTGCTTGACCCAAGTAGGCAGCTCCCTGCACAAGTCATCTGCACCGGTTCACTGACATGCAGTGACTACAAGGATTGCATTTTAATAGGGAGACCCCGGTAGACTGTTCTTCTTCCCTCAAAGCCAGGGGGTCGCTGCCTCGAAGGTCTACCTGTTGCTGAGCTTTGACCCATAGACTCCATGTATGCCATATATGGCTACATTGGGGTGGTGCCAGGGGGGGTCAATGGGGCGGCATATATGGCAGTCCCATGGAGTCTATGGGTATGTGTTGAGACGCACTTGCTGGCCTGCACCACGTCGATCACGCACTCGGTGCGGATCCAGGGGAGTTCCTCCGGCTGGGACTCGTAGAAGAGGTCGTTCAGGTTCCGCAGGGGCTGCTTCAGCTCGAGAGCTCAGCCGGGCAGAGCTCAGGATGCGAAAGGGTGACTTCCTTTTATGAAGCCCCTTCCAGGTGGCCACACGTGGCTACCAGTGCTAAACAGCAGTGCTCGTGTCTTGGCTACAACTACCGACGGCCAAGTGAGGTGTTCACATATTGTTTCGAAATTGCACAGTCAGCGCAATTTGCCAAGAATGCAAAGTAAATGACTGTGAATTGGAGGAGAGGAACAGCTCCTCATCCAGGAGAGATTGCGAAGAAGCTTTGCACACCAATGATGTGTTGGATGATGTTGGATGACACGTTAGCGTTCATTTCACTTATATACCTGCTCAGTCTGACGCCGGTTAAGCAAAAAAACTCCAACCGAGTTTCTCTTGGCGTGCTCGATGACCTTGTCAATACCCGGAATCTCTTCCCACTCGGTAATGGACTGAATCACACTGGAGGTCCTCGCTGGAATCGGCAAGGACAGGACATGAGGGTCTGTTGCAATCAAAGCAAGGCTGGTCCCCCCTGGTCTCAAACCCCATCGGACCTGGATATGTCCCTTTTGCGCACGTGGCACACGCAGCCGTAGTTGCACGTTCAAAGTGCTGAGACTCCGGCTTCTGCAGCTGTACCTGTCTCTTGTAGGCGAACGTCACACAGCACACCTCGGATTCGCCGCGAGCGAAACAGCCGCACCGCGCAGCACCGTCATCCAAGCGGTGTGCTTCAGGGCATCGATCCAACCGACCCCTTCGGCCTTCAATGGGAACCATGGTGGTTTGGGGAAGAGGTGTCCTCTTCCACCCCAGTGACTGACTGGTGGGGCTGGTGGTTTGGCTCACAGAGATTCCAAAATGGCTCCAGCCACTCGCATTCCCTCATTCACCTCAGAGCGCTTCACCGGAACCCCAAAACCTTCTCAAAACCCACCCTGGCGTCGGCCCTGGCGTCCTCCAGCAACCCCGCTCCGTCTTAGTCAGGCCCTTCTTTTGCTTCGCCCGCCCCCCACGCGCCGCGGAGCCAGCGCCAGCACGGAGACCGAGCCCAAAAGCTTCCAACGAAAGCCATTCTTGGGCGCCTGCGAAGGGCGCCGCTAGCCGCATGGTGGCCGCAAGTAGGTTGGAGACCCAGAAGCGAATTTGCCACATTTAGGGTTTCGGGGCGTCGGAGCTTCTCTGAAAAAGTCGGGTCCCCTTCTTGGATCTTCTTTGGGGCGCTGAAAAAGGAGGGCTCAAGGAGGCGTTGTTTTTGGGGGGGAGGAGGGATAGTAAGATGTTGTCAGGAGGCTGTTTCATGTCCTGAAAAGGATGGCTCTCCAAACATACGGACACCTAAGGCTCACAAGCACAATTGGACGCAGAACACTTACAGTATAGGTCCCAGGATTCTTCCATTCCCGCGTTTTCTTCCAAGAATCTGACAGAAAATGCATGAAAATGCATCCTGATCCCATCAAACATTGGTCACCTAAGAACTGTTCCACGACCAAATAATAACACCTTTGCCACGTCGTTTTCGAGCCTCACACCCACGGAGAAATGACTACAATCAATACAAAACAGTGACTTACATATATGCAAGCGGCATATATCAGAACATATCAGAACCCTAAGAGTTAACCAAGAGTGCAACTGATCTAAAAACCACCCAGCAAAACCTCTGATTGATCTTGCTGAACCCACCCCCGACCCGCGACACACACCTCTGGCACTTCAGCCAAAAGCTCCTCGGTTTCCTCTGCCACTGGACGGGCCATGGCGTTTCGAAGGCGGAAGGGTTTAGGGCGACAGATGGCCAGGGCAACAGGGCGTCTCCGAGCTGAGCCCCCAACATGGCGCATCAAACGCATCAAACGCATGCGTGGTTTCTTCGACATCGACATCGGCGAGTGCAAGAGCAATAAAAAGAGATGGGCATCCGTTCCCACATGCGCAGATGTGCCGGGAAGTGTCTAACGTCAGGTTCTTTGCTCGTACAGAGCAAGACAGACTAGTCTTGGGAGTGAGTGTAGCAATTGTGGCACACACATTTATATATTGTCATACCTAGATCTTCGAAACGGCACAAATAATTGCCTTTTCAGGAAAAAATGCCGTTACGGCGTCTTTTTTCCAAAGACGGCGTTTTTTGTTGTGACGAGGCGCACGCCGGCAGAAAGCAAAAAGAAACGGCGTCTTTAAGCGTCCAAACGGCGTATTTGGGCGTCCAAACGGCGTCTTTCCCCGTCCATGGATTTTGTACAACCCATAAAACGGCATTTCTTTTGATTACGGCGTCTTTTCACTAAAAATGCATCCGGCAAAAATTTGTGCCGTTTGAAGATCCAGGTATTAATGTGTATGACTATCTATCACTGGAGGTGTCAAAGCCACGGCCAAAAACCGCTGAAAAAAAAACTACCGGCAACCTGTTGTCCTTGAATCGAGGCTCGATGTGACTCTCAACTCCGGGCGTGGCAGGTATGGGCGGGGGGCGGATTTTT